AAAGGATATCTGAACCACAAGGCGACTTACTTCTACAGAGTTGCAGAGGGGTTGTGTGATTTTTGGATACTTGTAATGTAAGTCAGAACTACACGCAGGTTATTTTGGACTGTATTCCATCAGTGTTTTCGAACAGCACACAAAGCGCCAGAGTGCCATGGCATTTATCTGTATGCAAATGGAAAAGTGCCAGAGACGTCCAACAGAATTACAGCCGTCTTCAAAAGAGAAATTTCTCAAAAATGGGGGGACCGAAAACATGGAATCTCTGCAGGAGACCTGAGGTCTGCAACACAAATGTAGTTCAGCAAAAATTCATACTGCCTTGCAGTCGTTCCTAAAACAAGAACCCTTCAAACGATATTATGATTATTAGCTGACTCTGTTCTACTTCAGCCAATCAATGAGGCTACAGCAGCTACTCAAACTTTGCAGAACCCTCCACTCAGTCTTATTTTAAAAGTAAGCTCACGAAGAACCTCTTTTCTTTAATTAGCAACGATCTGCCATTACGAAAGGGCACGGCTTTTCTGAATTCCTGTCCAAGGAATCAGAAGGGAAATCTAATTACAGAGCTTTTGGCCCAGGCAAACTCTCGTTTCCCTAGATTGAAACATACCAAAGTTCAGTCGTGATCACCAACACCCTTATTTGCAATCTCCACGCGGTATCTGCTCTTTCATTTCAGAAATCTCCGCATGAGGGGACCACAGAAACGATTTTAAGTTGGACCTTCTGCTTCTGTGCACTTTAAAGCTTCAAGAAGCTACAGCAAGAGCTCCACAGAAGCGTCAAGGAAATAAAGAAGCCTTTAGATTTTCTCAAGTTTGCCTGATTAAGAAAAGGAACCTAAAGTCTGACCCCCCCCAAAAAAAATGCAAAAAGAAAGAGGAGTTGAAGAATGTACCTCTAAAAAAATTTAAATCGCTACCATCCTCATTTAAATACTGACTGGAGATGTATTTACGTGTGCAGGGCTGCAAGGGAATTGGGTATTGTTTGCATTAATGGTGTGGGGGAAGACAGGGGTTTGCGCAGTGCCTTGTGTGTGTGCATGAGGAGAAGTTGTGTGGACGCAAAGCTACATGAATCCACCTGGTGAAAAACCTTAGAGAGAACAAGGGTGGAAATTAATAGCAACGATCTGAAATAGGTATTGTGAAGGTTAAGTTCGACCTGCCTTTTACCCATAATAGATGGAACTGTTTTGGGATTAGTTTCCCCATTCCAAGATATTTTGAAGTCCTATACGACTTTAATATCCGGCAATTGTCACAGGCATTACTGGTTTCAGAAAATCTTACCACAGAGCGAATGCACTTGCAGGATAGTATTAACTTCTGCCTGGAAACAGACCGAAAGTGTTTCTAGAAAGGGCTGAGAAATCTGGGCCTCGGGCACACACGCCGTATCAAAATTCATTAGGATGTTTTGGAACGGTCTGACCAGCCTAGAATTACAGCAATCAGCAAGTTGGGGAGATCCATTTCGTCGGCATTCTTCCTTTATTGCACCAGGGCTGGCCCCTTTCTCTCCTTTCTCCCCCAAGTATACAGGTCTGCCCCCAGTTTGGCCGTTGGTCAACTTCTCTGGCCTCTCACATTTCATTTCTCTTTTAGAAAGCGGTGCGAGGAAAGGAGGAGCAGATCAGCAACTCTAACTCACGATAAAGCCCTGCGTGCCATTTTCACGATTTACGATATGCGCCTCGGAGAGAGGAAACAAAGCCCAAGGTTAGGGCAACATTTTCCCAAAATTCCTGTGCAGGAAAAGGATGAGGAACATGGCACTCAGCCATCCTGAAAGCAAATATAAAGACAGCTCTGGACCTTCTCCTGAGGAGGAGGAGGAGGAGGAGGAGGAGGAGGAGGAGATGATGATGATGATGATGATGATGATGATGATGATG